AGACTGATCACTAGGACTCACCTTAAGACTGATCACTAGGACTCACCTTAGACTGATCACTAGGACTCACCTTAGACTGATCACTAGGACTCACCCGAGACTGATCACTAGGACTCACCTTAAGACTGATCACTAGGACTCACCCTAGACTGATCACTAGGACTCACCCTAGACTGATCACTAGGACTCACCTAAGACTGATCACTAGGACTCACCTTAAGACTGATCACTAGGACTCACCTTAAGACTTATCACTAGGACTCACCTTAAGACTGATCACTAGGACTCACCTTAGACTTATACTTGTCCCGCTCCTTCAGGTACACATAGTTCTCACACGTGTCATAGTTGAGACTCTGTCAAAACAACAACAATCATATTAGATATCTAAATTAAAACAGCCTCATGATCTACCCTACATATAAAATAAGTATCCTTTATTGCTCTCTAGTTTACATTATGAACTAGTAAATACTGTAAACGTGGAAAATTACACACACAGGTAATTTATGCTTATTAAGCGGAGCTGGATCTTCTGCATAAATTTTCCCCCTCGCATATGGTTTCGTTGATTGTGTTAGGAACGACAACTCTGGTAGATATTGGTACTAATTAACGTACATTGTGCAGTAATGTTATAAAATAAAAACCTGTGTGGCACCATAACAGTCATTTCAACCCTACTTGGTAGTAGTCTCTATTTAAACATTGTACACAGAGTTCATACTGTTAGCTTAATCAAAGACCACTTATTATTTCATTTATACATAACTTCACACAATAAAAGAGTTAACCTGTTTATTACTTGAGTTAAGACACAGATATGTATGTGCAAGCATGAAATACTTTAATATTGAGAGAACACACTGTTCTGTCAATAATAAACATACAATATTCATCAGTTTAATATTAAACATTAGAATTTGTGGAAATTGTGATGCTGTCTCCCTACATTGGTTATTCAACTAGGGATGTACTGCCTGTTTCCGTTTATCAATACACTCCAATGACCTTAAGAGATTGGGGGTAAAATTCCCCAAGAATTTAAAGCCAAAATGGAACAGTTATGTTAGTCGACATAAGAGTGAGAGCCCCCAAATTCTATATGCTTTATAGAAACTGTATGTGTGTAAGTCAAGGGTATTGATATTCCATATTAATTAAAGCCAATGAAATCTGCATATGACTTAATCAATATCACGTTCACAACTGAGCACCATGAATGTTGCCCTTACATGTTAACCTTCAAATCTGTTTCCGAGGGTAAAAATTACATCTAGCAATAGACATGTACCAGTATAACAGGATGTATATCCTTGAATCGTGACAAGAAATATTGACTTCACACAAAATATTCAGGGACTTTCTAATAGTAATTACAGATCAATGCTAAATTCAAAACAGCAATGAAAGAACAATTAAACGAAAAAAGAATCCATTTAGCCGACATCTTCAATGGTCTTCTTTATTACCAGTTATAATTTGATTGATGTCATCATTTGAACAGTAATAAAGAAAAATTGAGGAACAATTAGTGTCCAATAATTCATGATCTTATCAATATTACACAAGTAGTCTAGGTAAAAGGAAGGTTCTCGTTTTCCGAAATTGGATTATTCAATATAAATGCAAAGCAGAGTTGAATCAAGAAATTCTGAAAGAGGGTTCAATCTTCTGAATGGAAGACTTTAACAAAAATATTTATAGAAAGCACTTCATGCGATAAAATGCTACTGGAACCAATGCTTTTGGTGACTAAAACCTATATCACACTGTTGTCAATGTCTGAAAAGTTAGTCAAATCAGAGGCAATGCAATCTGCAGTGATCTTCGCTTGCAACTGACTTGATGATCTAATTCCGGTAATGTCTATGAGAAGTCTAAGATAGGCAAAGACGTTTTACAAGTTATGGCCTTGAAGCCCATGGGTCCCTGAAACTAAAAAGACAAGATATAGACAGGATGATTCCATTATATTTAGCCTTTCTTAATATCTTTGGCTTGGCCAAAACAAACATTTTGGGTATGATGAAAGGGACCCCTTCTAGACCTTCTACTGGAAAGCAACAATATAGAAGTATTAGAATGTTAAAATAATTTGAACTGGTATCAAGATCCTGAGACATTTCACGGCAAATGGCAACTTAAAAGCACCACATTCATAAGATAATGGCCATCAAAACACCATTACAGCAAACAGAAGGCAAAATGAATGCATAGCACCTGATTGTATGGTATGACCCATAACCATACAATGATGCATTGTGGTTGTCAGTCACAAGCAGTGCCGTCTGCTATCACCAATCATGGTATATAGCTGTGGCACTCTGATTTTATTAGGTGTTGTGTTACACTTTCAATCTCTATTTATCTGAAAATTGCAGATCTTGTGGACGCATGATACTGGAAAGTGGATTGATGGAATCACTTCCCCAAACGACCGTTACAGCTTTTATCCCTACCATAAATGTCCCCACAATTTTTATCCCTACCATAAATCTCATTCTTTTTTCGGTGAAATAAATCAATTTTACTTTCTAGAAAGATTAAACTAAGAAGATATATATGCATATAAGTTTAAATAGCTTGTTTAAAATGACATCAAGAAATTAAAGCCACTATTTAGAAAATGACTTAAAGTTAACTATAAATTTCTACTGAAATATGTAATTTACTGTAATTGAAGCTCTAGGGATCATGGTGTAATGCAGACACTTACCTCCCATTTTGAGACAAGCCTCTTCCTGAAACGTGGTGACTCAATACCATACTGTTTTAATTTCTTCTGTATATCCTGGAAAAATCAGTGAGAGTTAGTAAACAATCAATAATTCAGAGATTTCTGTCTGAATACCAAGTATGGCCTTATCACTGGTAATATACGGTAACTTGGGGTGACTTAATACCAAGCATGACCTTATCACTGGTAATATACAGTAACAAGGGGTGACTTAATACCAAGCATGACCTTATCACTGGTAATATACAGTAACTAGGGGTGACTTAATACCAAGCATGACCTTATCACTGGTAATATACAGTAACTAGGGGTGATTTAATACCAAGCATGACCTTATCACTGGTAATATACAGTAACTAGGGGTGATTTAATACCAAGTATGACCTTATCACTAGTAATATACAGTAACTAGGGGTGATTTAATACCAAGTATGACATTATCACAAGTAATATACAGTAACTAGGGGTGACTTAATACCAAGTATGACCTTATCACTGGTAATATACAGTAACTAGGGGTGACTTAATACCAAGTATGACCTTATCACTGGTAATATACAGTAACTAGGGGTGACTTAATACCAAGTATGGCCTTATCACTGGTAATATACAGTAACTAGGGGTGACTTAATACCAAGCATGACCTTATCACTGGTAATATACAGTAACTAGGGGTGACTTAATACCAAGTATGACCTTATCACTGGTAATATACAGTAACTAGGGGTGACTTAATACCAAGTATGGCCTTATCACTGGTAATATACAGTAACTAGGGGTGACTTAATACCAAGTATGGCCTTATCACTGGTAATATACAGTAACTAGGGGTGACTTAATACCAAGTATGGCCTTATCACTGGTAATATACAGTAACTAGGGGTGACTTAATACCAAGTATGGCCTTATCACTGGTAATATACAGTAACTAGGGGTGACTTAATACCAAGTATGGCATGGCATTATCACTGGTAATATACAGTAAGTAGGTGACTTAATACCAAGCATGACCTTATCACTGGTAATATACAGTAACAAGGGGTGACTTAATACCATGTATGGCCTTATCACTGGTAATATACAGTAACTAGGGGTGACTTAATACCAAGTATGACCTTATCACTGGTAATATACAGTAACTAGGGGTGACTTAATACCAAGTATGGCCTTATCACTGGTAATATACAGTAACTAGGGGTGACTTAATACCAAGTATGGCCTTATCACTGGTAATATACAGTAACTAGGGGTGACTTAATACCAAGTATGACCTTATCACTGGTAATATACAGTAACTAGGGGTGACTTAATACCAAGTATGGCCTTATCACTGGTAATATACAGTAACTAGGGGTGACTTAATACCAAGTATGGCCTTATCACTGGTAATATACAGTAACTAGGGGTGACTTAATACCAAGTATGGCCTTATCACTGGTAATATACAGTAACTAGGGGTGACTTAATACCAAGTATGGCCTTATCACTGGTAATATACAGTAACTAGGGGTGACTTAATACCAAGTATGACCTTATCACTGGTAATATACAGTAACAAGGGGTGACTTAATACCAAGTATGGCCTTATCACTGGTAATATACAGTAACTAGGGGTGACTTAATACCAAGTATGACCTTATCACTGGTAATATACAGTAACTAGGGGTGACTTAATACCAAGTATGGCCTTATCACTGGTAATATACAGTAACTAGGGGTGACTTAATACCAAGTATGGCCTTATCACTGGTAATATACAGTAACTAGGGGTGACTTAATACCAAGTATGGCCTTATCACTGGTAATATACAGTAACTAGGGGTGACTTAATACCAAGTATGGCCTTATCACTGGTAATATACAGTAACTAGGGGTGACTTAATACCAAGTATGGCATTATCACTGGTAATTTACAGTAACTAAGGGTGACTTAATACCAAGTATGGCCTTATCACTGGTAATATACAGTAACTAGGGGTGACTTAATACCAAGTATGACCTTATCACTGGTAATATACAGTAACTAGGGGTGACTTAATACCAAGTATGGCCTTATCACTGGTAATATACAGTAACTAGGGGTGACTTAATACCAAGTATGGCCTTATCACTGGTAATATACAGTAACTAGGGGTGACTTAATACCAAGTATGGCCTTATCACTGGTAATATACAGTAACTAGGGGTGACTTAATACCAAGTATGGCCTTATCACTGGTAATATACAGTAACTAGGGGTGACTTAATACCAAGTATGGCATTATCACTGGTAATTTACAGTAACTAAGGGTGACTTAATACCAAGTATGGCCTTATCACTGGTAATATACAGTAACTAGGGGTGACTTAATACCAAGTATGACCTTATCACTGGTAATATACAGTAACTAGGGGTGACTTAATACCAAGTATGGCCTTATCACTGGTAATATACAGTAACTAGGGGTGACTTAATACCAAGTATGGCCTTATCACTGGTAATATACAGTAACTAGGGGTGACTTAATACCAAGTATGGCCTTATCACTGGTAATATACAGTAACTAGGGGTGACTTAATACCAAGTATGGCCTTATCACTGGTAATATACAGTAACTAGGGGTGACTTAATACCAAGTATGCCATGGCCTTATCACTGGTAATATACAGTAACTAGGGGTGACTTAATACCAAGTATGCCATGGCATTATCACTGGTAATATACAGTAAGTAGGTGACTTAATACCAAGCATGACCTTATCACTGGTAATATACAGTAACAAGGGGTGACTTAATACCATGTATGGCCTTATCACTGGTAATATACAGTAACTAGGGGTGACTTAATACCAAGTATGGCCTTATCACTGGTAATATACAGTAACTAGGGGTGACTTAATACCAAGTATGGCCTTATCACTGGTAATATACAGTAACTAGGGGTGACTTAATACCAAGTATGGCCTTATCACTGGTAATATACAGTAACTAGGGGTGACTTAATACCAAGTATGGCCTTATCACTGGTAATATACAGTAACTAGGGGTGACTTAATACCAAGTATGGCCTTATCACTGGTAATATACAGTAACTAGGGGTGACTTAATACCAAGTATGGCATTATCACTGGTAATTTACAGTAACTAAGGGTGACTTAATACCAAGTATGGCCTTATCACTGGTAATATACAGTAACTAGGTGACTCAATACCAAGTATGGCCTTATCACTGGTAATATACAGTAACTAGGGGTGACTTAATACCAAGTATGGCCTTATCACTGGTAATATACAGTAACTAGGTGACTCAATACCAAGTATGCCCTTATCACTGCATGGTAATATACAGGAAGTAGGTGACTTAATACCAAGTATGGCCTTATCACTGGTAATATACAGTAACTAGGTGACTCAATACCAAGTATGACCTTATCACTGCATGGTAATATACAGGAAGTAGGTGACTTAATACCAAGTATGGCCTTATCACTGGTAATATACAGTAAGTAGGTGATTCAATACCAAGTATGGCCTTATCACTGGTAATATACAGTAATTAGGGGTTACTTAATACCAAGTATGGCCTTATCACTGGTAATATACAGTAACTAGGTGACTCAATACCAAGTATGGCCTTATCACTGGTAATATACAATAACTAGGGGTTACTAAATACCATGTATGACCTTATCACTGGTAATATACAGTGACCATGTTTCAGGTATTGACTAAATGAAATTGAAAGTTTAGGTGTCATTCAGATCAAATACATCAAACACATAGGTGATTCAGTCATAAATATCAAGGAATACACTTTCCTATTCGTTCCTTTTATGATATCAATTATAGGCCTAATTATTATTATGATATGCAACATGCCATGATCTCCTATACACATTCAATTGCTAGCATTTCTCATAACACACTTAAAATGCAGGTTCAATAATTCTACAAATTTTATCGTTCTAAATAACTTCCAATTCTACCAAAGATCAAAGGGTTTCTCCTGTACACATGGAATCCTGTAGTTCCCCGTCTAACCAAATCAATATTCCTTATCTTGAAACACACTTAAAATAGATTTTAATGCTTGTTTTATTGCTGGTTGAATTTCATAATACACTACGTTTTATACCACTCCAACTGCTTTGTAGTTCTATAACATCTACAACAAGAAACGTTAAGTGTCTTATACCTTCTACAGGACTAATTACTGGGTATTAACCAACACAACACTTATTTACTGAATGAAATATATTTGTATAAGTTGCCCCTTATGTATGTGCTGGCTATACATGTATATCCTGTTTTATATAAGAACCACACTCTGTATATCGTGTCATGCAAGGAGACCATTATGATGCCAGTTTTCGGCTCCAATTAAGACTAGAGACTGGCCACCACTGACTGAGCAGTCCCCAGAGTCTCCCACTCACTCACCAGGTCTGCACGACTTATCATGACTGGAGCCCTTATATTAGTACAGTTGTGGGACCGCACAACGCACCAAAAATAGCGTGCGCACACCGTGCATACATCGTTCACACACCGTCCGCACATCGTCCACACATGGTGCGCACAACTGTGCGATTTAGCAATCGTTCGCCCCATTGTGCGATTCTCTCCGCACAACTGTGCGATTTGGTATCATTTGAAGATCAAAATTATGGAATGTCAAAAATACGGAAAGCTTGTATACGATAATGTACACTGTGTCTATATCTGTAATTTCTCATCACAATAATCAAGATTATACAATTTCACAATGCGTGTTACACAGTATTACAGCGACCGTGAGGCTGTCAAGAATGGGTTTGGCTCCAAGGTAACAGAACAGGTAAATAACAATTTTATGAGTGTCCGGAGTTTTACCTGACCAGTGCCTGACACACAGAGCTGATTCGCAATACCGGACCGTAATGAATAGTATTTGCATTCGTTTGCCTATGGCTCCCCTTCACCTGGATTTTCACACCCCCGGCCTTACCCGACGAGTTACGTAAGTGCCCCAGGCGGGTAGAAAACTACGGTCCAGGTACATGTACAGAGTGGTTATGTTTACCTGTATACGGGATTGTGTTGTTATTTTACATGTGACGATGAAGTTTTTTTAAAAACACAGAAAACACAATTTCTAAATATAAGCATGTATAGACAGAAAGATAATTATATAAGTTTATAGATGTTGCTAGAATATAGAAACATACGTAAACATCAAGTTTATATGTTTAAACACAAAACCGTATAAATTGTTAAGGCATTTCTCAATTTACACCAACCACAATTGTTATCGCACAACGTCCATCCATCGTGTGCACATATGTGCGCAAGCAATGATCGTCCAGCTTTTTACGGTTCGCCCATCGTGCACACAGCGTTCACACACCGTGCACACAGCGTGCGCACACCGCACATCGTGTAACGTTGTGCGATCCCACAACTGTACCTACATCAGCCTAATTCAGCCTAACAATAGCACCTACACACTGTTGTTTTCACCTATAGTGACCTCATGAAATTGACCCTTCATCGACCCAGCATAACCCCACAACTACCTTTTGATTATGCATATTTTTTTTTATCTTACTTGACAGTCAACATGAGTTTTGTCCACTATGTAAACATTGTTACCAGGGTCTCCATGTGAGACAGGACCAGCCCTAGGCCTGTAAATAGCCCAGATCAGGGCTTGCATGCGAGGCAAGACCAGCCTGTACATAGCCAAGATCAGGGCCTCCATGTGAGACAGGACCAGCCCTGTAAATAGCCCAGATCAAGGCCTCCATGTGAGACAGGACCAGACCTGTAAATTGCCCAGATCAAGGCCTCCATGTGAGACAGGAACAGCCCTGTAAATAGCCCAGAGCAGGGCCTCCATGTGAGACAGGACCAGCCCTGTAAATAGCCCAGATCAAGGCCTCCATGTGAGACAAGACCAGCCCTGTAAATAGCCCAGATCAGGGCCTCCATATGAGACAGGACCAGCCCTGTAAATAGCCCAGATCAGGGCCTCCGTGTGAGACAAGACCAGCCCTATAAATAGCCCAGATCAGGGCCTCCACCTGAGACAATGTATGGGCATCCAAAGTATGACTTAGTGGAATCCTTAACCCTCCACAATTTACTCAATCAGGACCTATATACTAAATAATGTAATATGTAACAGTCACCATAGTAGGCAATGACTGAAGGCAACCTACTATAGATACAGGCATCCCTATAGGAAATAAACTAGATCAGGGCCTTAACACTGGAAACACAGGACAAAGACAATCAAGTACATCACTGCCCATTTTCGAATCTTCCGCAATTATTCAGGAACAATCAACAAATTCACAGATTTATGAGAAAACATAACAGAATACCTAATGACTTCATTAATCTTCCGCTCATAATATGAGGTTTAAAAACAAAAACAGCGAAATGTGACTATATTTTACATTTAAATCATTGGTGGTGAATAATAAGCCAGACATGCTATAATATTACAGGAAGACTTTGTATGACTGTACAATAATACAAAGGACTGAAACCAGGCCCAAAGTTTTAAGTATGTTTATTTAAATGTCAAAGTCTGATCGATAAAGATGTGTTGGCCAGACCACTACATGAGCACTGCAACACTTTTTGTCGCCAGCGGTATTGGCTATATGACAATTCTGAAGTAAAATACCAGTAATGGTACCCGGGGGGGTCAGGCTAGCCCTGTCTAAAATAGGGAAAAATACTCCTAGTCAGTAGTGGTTTAATATGTAAATTGAAAATATTCAGAATTTGCAAATGGTACTTATACATTGGAAGTAAATAGCCAGCTGGCAATGACTTTAGGTGTATCCTTCAGTTATACCACTGTAATTCTACGTAGGAAAGATACTTGGAGCCAAATGGGTAAACTCCCCCTTTTTGTCTAAAAGTAAAATGCAAAAGACCAGAGTTATATAATTCTGTAAAATTCAAATCTAGTTTAATTAAAAACAGATACAAATGTTCACTTTACTAGCAACTTTACTGCCGCAATTCACGAACAGGTCAGATAAAGTTTGTGTCAAGGGACCTGACCCTGAGCAGTAACCAAAGCATCTGTTAGACTTCAACCGGCAATAGGACATATTAGGTAAGGTATAAACTCCTTGAGAAGGAGGTCATAGCACGTTTTAAACCACAATGCAAGCCTTGGGGGCTGTGACCATGTGATGTCCTTGACTACTTAAGGTTTTTCATGTATTGACCGTGACACTATAAGACTTTGGATGGTTTGAGGTTGGATGTCTGTAGAACAAGATGTAATATAGATTATATTTATAATGGAATATTTTAAAGTTTTTGGCAATCCTTAAAATGTCTGTTACATTAACGAGTATCAACACTGAACTTTGACAACAGTAGAGCAATGATGATGTTTTTTCAGCTTAGAAGTGACCAACCCTGATTTTGGAAAACAGTGAGGTTGTAATACGGTTATATAAGCTGTAATATGTTACCCTACCCTGGACATGGAAAACACTGAACTGAGGATGACAGTGGTTGAGTTACCTACCCTAAACTGTGGTGGCATCAGATAAGTTACCGGCCCTGAACTTGAATGACAGTAGATGTTGAGTTAAGAACCCTAACTTTGGATGACAGTAGATGAGTTACTTACCCTGAACATTGATGACAGTAGATGTTGAGTTAAGAACCCTTACTTTGGATGACAGTGGATGAGTTACCTACCCTGAACATTGATGACAGTAGATGTTTAGTTAAGAACCCTAACTTTGGATGACAGTGGATGAGTTACCTACCCTGAACATTTATGACAGTAGATGTTGAGTTAAGAACCCTAACTTTGGAAGACAGTGGATGAGTTACCTACCCTGAACTTTGATGACAGTAGATGTTGAGTTAAGAACCCTAAATTTGGATGACAGTGGATGAGTTACCTACCCTTAACATTGATGACAGTAGATGTTGAGTTAATAACCCTAACTTTGGAAAACAGTGGATGAGTTACCTACCCTGAACTTGGGTGGCAGTAAATAAGTAACCTGCCCTGAACTTTGATGACAGTAGATGTTGCGTTAAGAACCCTAACTTTGGATGACAGTGGATGATTTACCTACCCTGAACATTGATGACAGTAGATGTTGAGGTAAGAACCCTAACTTTGGAAGACAGTGGATGAGTTACCTCCCCTGAACATTGATGACAGTAGATGTTTAGTTAAGAAACCTAACTTTGGATGACAGTGGATGAGTTTCCTACCCTGAACATTGATGACAGTAGATGTTGAGGTAAGAACCCTAACTTTGGAAGACAGTGGATGAGTTACCTACCCTGAACATTTATGACAGTAGATGTTGAGTTAAGAACCATTACTTTGGATGACAGTGGATGAGTTACCTGCCCTGAACATTGATGACAGTAGATGTTTAGTTAAGACCCCTAACTTTGGATGACAGTGGATGAGTTACCTCCCCTGAACATTGATGACAGTAGATGTTGAGGTAAGAACCCTAACTTTGGAAGACAGTGAATGAGTTACCTACCCCGAACTTTGATGACAGTAGATGAGTTACCTACCCTGAACATTGATGGCAGTAGATGTTGAGTTAAGAACCCTAACTTTGGATGGCAGTGGATGAGTTACCTACCCTGAACATTTATGACAGTAGATGTTGAGTTAAGAACCATTACTTTGGATGACAGTGGATGAGTTACCTCCCCTGAACATTGATGACAGTAGATGTTTAGTTAAGAACCCTAACTTTGGATGACAGTGGATGAGTTACCTACCCTGAACTTGGATGACAGTAAAGCTGTGATGCTGTTTTGCGTAAGAGTGTCGGTATTCTCATCACTGTCTGCTATCTCAAACTGGGCTGGCCTGGACGGGGTTGGGTTGGACCGTTGCTGCTCCTCCTGTTCTGCATCAGAGACCGGCGTGACTGTAAACTGAAAAACACAAGGAAAGTCAACATCATTGCCAACCTTAAGTCGTACGACAATCAAAAGTTTCTTCAATTTAAGCCTGATAACAAACTAGTTCCGGAAATGGGTTATAGCAAACATACACAGTACAATTTACATCAGGCTGTGCCTTGGAGTTGTATAAGGGATATAAGTAATCTATAATTGATTTAAGGAGGCTTCAATAAATACAGTAGCATGATATCATATTGTTGCATCGAAAAATGCTGATCATTAAAATTTGTTTAAAAAGTGTTACTTGTATTTGTTTATTTTTGAATCCATGTTTTCCGACAAAAGCATAATAGAATGATGGAAATGCTAAAGTGTTTTGTAACTATGACAATTAAATCTGTAGTTGATTATCATGGCAGTGTCGCAGATCTCACCCTATTATCTGGTGCACTGTGAGAGATTAGTCAAGATTATCACATCACAGAGCATTCATTGAGTACTTTTGTCTCCATTATCACAATCAGTGCACCAATCAAATCTCATCAGTTTCTGTTCAGTATGGTATGGACTTTACAAAACCACCAGAACACGTACTACTTGGTTTTTGCTTTAATCCTGTGGACTGTCCAGTTTTACTGAGATATAAAATAGTTCTTTACCGTGAGATAATCAATAATTCCTTAAGAATGAACCAATTTTTTGGGGCTAAACTATAGACCATACTACAACGTTGTTATATGTAACAGTTATATTTTTGACTGGATTTTTCACTTTCAAACTGGTTTGAAAATCATTTCATCATGGTAGATTATGAGCTTGAAAGATTAAGTAACAAACCTTTGGAAAAGTTTCGTTGATTTTTTTTATTATTTTTTATTTTTAAAGAAATTATTTTTAATTTCTTTGTATAACAGATATTATATTGAACACTTTTGTATTGCTGGTAAATGTTTCATTAAAGGTGTAAAAGGAGTTGTTTCTACTTGTGAAACCCATACAAATGTTAAATGATCTTGGACTGTTTTGATCTTGAACTTTTGAATGGTGAGAAGCATGACAAGTAAACACACAAACAAAACCATATACATCTACTAATTACTATGTAAACATGATAAGCAATATTCATGGGTTTAGGGACCTTTCTTCCCCAAAAATCCTTAATCTATGTATACATACAACTCCAGTTTCCACTTTCATAGGGAACTGTTGGGGAAAATTGGTGTCTAGTTGTGGTCATTTTCAGTGTCAGTTTTCACAGCTTCAATCAGCAATAAAAAGGGATGTCTTGGTTACTTCATATACAATGTATATACAAACTGAATGGTGTATAGTCAGGTGGTTAATACTGTGAAGTACTGGTGAAGCCAATGAATGATTGAACACAGTTGTTGGGTGTTGAACAGGAGACTAGCTCGGGCAATACTTGTGAATCTCGACAGCCACTGTAGCTATACTCAGCTGCAAATTAAAGCCAATTAGATGAAGAATAGGACCAATCTTTACAAGTGATCATAGCTGGATAGATGTATAGATTTTGGTGATCCAAACCCCTGACTGAGGCGTGGGCAGGGTGATCTCTACACCTGACTGAGGCGTGGGCAGGGTGATCTCTACACCTGACTGAGGCGTGGGCAGGGTGATCTCTACACCTGACTGAGGCGTGGGCAGGGTGATCTCTACACCTGACTGAGGCGTGGGCAGGGTGATCTCTACACCTGACTGAGGCGTGGGCAGGGTGATCTCTACACCTGACTGAGGCGTGGGCAGGGTGATCTCTACACCTGACTGAGGCGTGGGCAGGGTGATCTCTACACCTGACTGAGGCGTGGGCAGGGTGATCTCTACACCTGACTGAGGCGTGGGCAGGGTGATCTCTACACCTGACTGAGGCGTGGGCAGGGTGATCTCTACACCTGACTGAGGCGTGGGCAGGGTGATCTCTACACCTGACTGAGGCGTGGGC